TTCCATCCAAGTCTACCTGAGTGTGCCCATGAGATCACTTGAGGTGCTACTTATAGCAGCATAGATGAGGAGCTACTTGGGGTTGCATAGGTGACTCAAAGATGGCTGCATCACTGATAAGTCCACCCCAGCATAGCTGACAACTCACAAAACTGCATCCCTGGAGTTCCCTCCCTGCAGAGCTGGCAGGCAACTCTGATGATGGGAGCGGCTCTTTCCTGCCATAACTGGTGCTGCTTATATAAACCCGGAAAATCTTGCAAGAGCCTGAGCTCTCTAAGCCTGATAAGTTGCATGAGCTTCTCTCCTCTTTCCAGGATGGATGTTTTAATTCCCGGGAATTAACTATGCAACAGTTGATTACAAAGCCTTGTCTCCTAGGCATAGCCTATGTCTCCATCTCTGTCCGCCCCCGCCCTTCCCTCCTTCCTCCTCTCTCTTCTCCTTCTTGAAACAGGTTGGACTTTCTCTGCATTCTCCACACCTAGCTGCAGCATGGATCATTATGTAGCACAAATGTTCTCTATCACACTGACAAGGTGGCTGCAACACAGGCGAAGGATGCAGGACTCCCACACTAGAGGTAAGCAGAAGCCTGTCTGGGACTTGTGTCGTTTTCTGTGTCCCTGGAGCATAGCTTCAAGGCCAGTGTGTGTGAACCTGTTGGGTGCGGTTGTGGCCTGAGGCCAGAAAGTCAGGAAAGGCTTCCCTCCCTTCCTACTTACTTCCCTCCCCTTTTCCCCTCCCCTCCTTTCCTGGTTTCCTCCCAGCCAGATGAAACTGTGCAATGTGACCATCCAATCTAATTAGTTAAACCCTCAGTTCTGACAGGATGAGGCTTCAGGAAGAATAAAAAATCTAGTTTCCTTGGCTCTCAGCCTCTCAAAAGATAATGAAGAAGATCTGATTTCAGGAGTGAAGTCCCAGCTCCCTGATCTTCACTGCCAGGGGCAACCAGCTATGAGCTGAAACCTCTGTCTTAGATGTGCACACCAAGCAGAATGGCAAAACTGTGAGCCTACAGGCACCCTGGCTGAGGCTCTCACTGTGGACCTCGGGCACAGCTGCCTGAGTGCCCGCCAGGAAGATCAGAAAGTCAGGACCAGGAGGGCCAGCCTCCTCATATCATCTGCCAAGTGTCTGCCCAGCATCTTCAGGCAGCTTCTGTCATGGTGGCTCTGCCAGCCCACCCCAGCTGCTCTGTCCCTATTTCAGGTCCCTCAGAGACACCACCCCTGTATCTGTCTTTGCTATCCCCTGAGTAAGTGTGCTGGCTTGCAGACAGGTCAGAGGACACAGTAAGAGGAATGACAAAGGTAGGGACATTTGGGATAGCTTCCAGGAATATGGGCAGGGCTAATTGAGGACCCAGAATTCACTAAACAAGAGCTGCCCCCTCAGACTGAATTTCGGGTTGTGAAAAGCCACGGAGGTATATTCTAGTAAGAGGATGGAGATAAGCCATTGAAATGCTACAGCAGTGCCAGCCAGTTTGCCCTGGCCACTGGTAATCAGATTCTGTCATGTGCAGAGCATTAAACCAGAAAACTGATCCAAAGCATGCCGTTTGCTAGTTCATCATCCACTTCTTGCTAGCCAGTGGGATCGTGTCCTGTCCTGCGCCAGCCCTGGAAATGACAGTAGCTCTAACTGAGAAGAACAGCGCACCAACAGTCCACGGAGGCAGCTGTCTCATCTCTGCCCCCACCTGAGCTGGGACTAAAGCAAGTCAACAACAGCGAAGGACAGCCAGGGTTGAGTGGACCAAGGACTTAGATTCCAGCTCCAGAAGGAGTTCTGCTACCACCACCACCACCACCACCACCCCCCATAAGAAAAAGAAAAACACGCCCATGAGACCTCACTAACCCTGGTCATCAAGCCAAGGTCAGAGCCTTGCCACAATTCACCCAGAGCACCGAGACTCGAAGAGCACTCCTCTGACCCCCACACTTGTGCACGTGCAAACATGCCCTTAAAGGCCTTTAACACATGGGGTAAGCATGTTACACACTTGGATCTGGAAGCATAGTGCCCTATGGGTCATTTTATCCTTTCAGCTGCTGTTCATACAACCATGAGGTGGAAGAGTTTAGAGCCCCACAGTTAAGCTTCCCATTGGCCAGTTTAACTTTTCAAAAGATATAACATAGCTTTAAGCCAAACTGCCTTATTTTTTTTAACAGGGGTCAATGATCAGGCCACACACAAACTTAGGAACACACAAACAAAGGGAACCAAAGTTCAAGTGTTTGTTGTAAGTTATTTCATAACAAACAAGTTACAATCACACCATCACCCCCAAAATCCTCGATGAAAAAAATTATCTGACAAAATTTATAAAATATACGGTATTACAGAGAAATCATAATATGATAACCAGATGAACTTATTTTGTCCCCTTTAGATTACTAGCACACATGCTATTAAAAACTTGATGTGGGTTTTATTAGTTCTGTTATAGAGATAAATCCTAGGGCTTGCATATGTTGGATAAAGTACTCTATCACCAAGCTACATACCCAGCCCAAGAAATCAGGTTGGAGGTGGGGTTGTTTCACACGAATTTTCTAATGTTTAATTTCTTCCATTATCGCTGTATTTCAAAAGAAGTTTTTGTGCCTATTTTCCACCTCATGTCATCAAAATCTGACCCCTGAAAATTAACATGAACACAGACCATGCTTCCCCCATCAGGCCAGCACTGCCAGTTATACTTAGGACCAACTTCAATTGTGACAGATGCTCACTTGCCCTCGGGCTTAAAATAGCTGTCATAGATGTCAGACACAGCAAATGCTCTCTGCCAGCTTAATAGCCCATTAGGCGACTTCATGAAAGAGGCAAATGAATCCATCACCAAAGGGGAGAATCGACTTCACCCACCACCATGGGCTAGAGACCTTGCGTGTATCAATCGTCCAAATGGCTTTGATCCGTTAAAAATAGAAGTCGGCACACTGCTTGGCTACAGGAGCTGCATGCTAGATTTTTCAAAGGCCAACAGCACTACAGTTGGAGAATGAGCACCCTGGAGACACACAGAGCTCAAAGAGGACCCCCGCAGAGCGCTCTATCTTGGCTGATGCCACGCGGCATATTTCCAAGGATGGCACAGCAGAAAATCTCTTGCAACTCCAGACATCTTCCATGGCCAGAGCCAATAAGGTTCACCAGGCCTCCCTTAAAGTGTCTGCAATTTACACTGAAATCATTCTCCTTCTGGCGGAAAAAAAAAAAATACCCACAAACTATTTTAATTGCTTGAAGCAATTCTACTATGCTGTAATTATCACATTGCCTTGTAATTATTTGCTTTGTGACTATCTCTCTCCAACCCCACCTTCTCCACCCCCAGACTCCAGCTCCTTAAAAGAGCCATGGCCTTGATATCCAGTGCCTGCCTGGTATGTAGGGAAACTAGGGAAATTCAGACTGAGTTCATTTCTATTGAAAATGTCAGTAACATTTTCCCTCTTAGAATCTGAATCCTTATTATGAATCCCAGAATCTGTTACACTTGTGTGGTTAATCAACAAGACTTATGCACCTTAACGTTCCTTTAAGTGACTATACTAGAACAGTGTAGTGTGAGAAATCAGAAATAATCACCATATATTTCTGTATTTGGAGTCTTCCATGCCTACCATCCAAAAGAAATTAATAACCCTGATTACTAGAGTCTCTAAGGCCAACCTCACATTAAAATTAAACATGTATATGATGTACTTAGCTCAATGGCTAGCACATGGGAACACTCTGAGCATTAGCTCTCAGTCCCCACATGCTACTTATTGCCTTTAAAGTGGCAACAGTATGGTGTTCAAAGCCATCCTCTGGCACCTGCCCTGCCACCGCAGACCAGGAGCACAGAGGGGCCATCACATCATCTGGATATGAATTTTTAGGGTTTTCCCTCCTGAAACCAGAGAAGGTTCTGTTTTATTTTTCCTTCCTCTCTTTCACCTCGTCATTCCCCAACACGAGCTGTGGCTGCCTAAAGTCAAGCTAAAGTGAACCACAGGTGGTGGGCTCTACACCTGCGTTGATAACCAGGCAAGAAGATAACAATGAAGACAAGAGTGCTCTAGCCCAAACTGCCTTCCACAGCGGTCATCCGCTTAGGGAGCCTAACAGGATGTGATTTAAAAAATGCTCATGTTTATGCAATGATAAACTGATCCAAACGTTGGGTGAAAAGATGTTGGGAGAACACCTGGCAAACCCAATAGCTATGCCCCATGCTTCCTCACGGGATCAACAGGTCAACATGAAGAAGGGAGCGAGCGGTGAGTTAGAGCTCTTTTGCCACAGACTGGCAGTAATTCCCATAGAGAAGTGTAAAAATAGCTAACCAACTCTGTTTGCTCATTAAGTCACTCTCTCATCCTAATGATTGTCTCTAAAGATCCCCAGACTAGAAATTCCCAAACTGATGGGCAGAGCTAGTGTGCTCTTTGCTGAGTGATCACACTAGAGCCAGCTGCTGTCATCTGAAGGCACACGGAAGTGTGTAAGCAGAACCAGACCCTCCTGCTTAATGACCTCCACCTGGGCGTGGGTCCCCTAGAGACAGCCTGAACCCCTGAGCATGCCTCACCCTTTACAAACAACAGCGCAAGGGACTAGCAGGTTGCCACAATAGTATTTCAAGCAACTTGGAGATGTGCTATAGTTCAGTCCCCAGAGCAGATCCCATCAGGGCAGTGAAATTTCAGATGGCTACCGGAAGAATAAATTAAGATGACTAACTGATAGTGGTTTGAGTTTTGTGTGGTTGGCTTGTCTTTTAAGATTTAAAACAAACTTCACACATCTACAGTGCAGTCAGAACCAACTCAGACGGTTCTGATCCATAGAAGCGGGTCCTCATAGATAGTAGAGCTATGCCAGCGTTCTGACACCACCCACAGATCTCAGAAGTTATAGACAGCCCCTCAAAGCCCCCCAAGTGACACCATCACAGCCCGGTCACAGCAAAGAGGCACGGCGGCACTTACGCAGGGCATGCCACTCATCCTGGCGAATGGTCTTGGTGATGTTGAAGGTGAGGTTCCTGGGGATGGTTGCTGAGGAGTAGTGGTACTTGATGTACGTGCACCTCTCAGTCTCTCCTGGAAGAGAGAAGTAGAAAGCCAAACGTGAGTGCGGCAGTGACCGCCTGTCTTAGTTAGGGTCTCTACTGCTGTGAAGAGACACCATGAAGAGACACTGCAGCTCTTAGGAAAGAAAACATTTAATTGGGGCTGGCTTACAGTTTCAGAGGTTTAGTCCATTATCATCATAGCAAGAAGCATGGTGGCCTATAGGCAGACATGGTGCTGAGATCTCTACATCCTGATCCCCAGGCACCTAAAGGAGACTGTGTACCACAGTGAGTGTAGTTTGAGCATATAAGATTTCAAAGCCTTCCCCCACACTTCCTCTAACAAGGCCACACCTCCCAATGAGGCCAATCCCTATGCGCCAAGCATTCAAACACTTGAGTCTTTGGGGGCCATTTCTATTCCAACCACCACACCATCTCTTCAGCATCCCAGGATCCACATGTCCATCCTGGAGAAAGAAACATGTTTCGTGTTGGGCCTCCAGTTTATATTGAGCAATAAGCTTGACTCAAAAAGAACAAGGAAGTAAAGCTTACAATCAGATGGCACTGGCTTAGAAAAATGAATCTCTAGGGTCATGCATAGAGTGAAAGATTCAAAATTCAGACTATGGAAAGCTTTTTTAAGAAGCAGTGCCCATGTGTGCTAGCCTTGAGAAAATCGACTTTCAAAGTTTGAGAAGGTTGGTGGCACCTGAGGAACACTGCTCATCAATACTGACGATGTCCTCTTGCCTACCTGTGCATATGCACACACAACTACAACATCTGTGTGCATGCATGCACGCTCATACAAGTACAACATCTGTGTGCATGCACACACCCATTGAACTACAACATCTGTGCGCATGCATGCACGCTCATACAAGTACAACATCTGTGTGCATGCATGCACACACCCATTGAACTACAACAT